GGGTTTAGATTCTAGGGTTTAGGGTTTAGAGTTTCTGTTCAAACTGTTCAGGACTTCGCCAAATATCTGCTCACGAGTTCATGCATGCGTAGTATCAAACCCTAAACCCTAAACCCTAAACCCTACACTCTAAATGCCAAACCCTAATCTCTAAACCCTAAACCCTAAATCGTAAGATACAGAAGCTGGCAGCCCTGGTGCACTTCGTCTTTTCTCCTTTTAGCATTTCTTTTGAAAGAATAAGTGAATAAAATTCAAATTGAATTTAAAAGTAAAAAATAAATAAATTTCAACTTGAGGAATCAGAAAACAAAATAAACTTCCAAGACCCTTTTTGCACACAGAGGCCCACGCCTATCTTTGAAGCTCCCAACAGCTAGCTAGCTAGATGCCTAGCTAGCTAGCTGCTGGCTAGCCACACAGCTAGCTAGCTAGCTAGCCATATTGCTAGCGACCCGGCTGGCCAGCTAGCTAGCTAAGTAGCTAGCTAGCTAGCTAGCTAGCTAGCCACATTGCTAGCGGCCCGGATAGCCAGCTAGCCAGCTAGCTAGCTAGCTAGCCAGCTAGCCAGCCAGCCAGCTAGCCAGCGAGCTAGCTAGCTAGCTAGCTAGCCAGCTAGCCAGCCAGCGAGCTAGCTAGCTAGCTAGCTAGCCAGATGATTTGTTTAGTGTTGAAGTTCACTTTGGACTTGTTCGGGGGTGGGTTTGAGAAAGTTTTGGACAAGCTGGGGAGGCAGTTGTCGGGGAATGAATTTGAAAAAAGAAAAAGAATGAAAAGGACTAAATAAATGAAAAGACTTGAATGAATTAAATAAATTGAGGGAATTAAATGCATTAAATGAATTAAATGCATTAAAAGGATTAAAAGATTTAAAAGAATTGAAATTAAAAGAATCCAAAAAAGAAAAAAAAGAAGAAAAAGAAAAAAGACAAATTACGCGACTCAACACCAGCCCGCTGCTCACTGGCCCGTAACTCCGACTGTCGTGGGACATGTCTGAAAACAAAAGTTCAAATAATCAATTTAATTTTATTTATTTATTTATTCAATTTAATTTAATTCACTCAAATTAATTTAATTTAATTAGTTAAGTTAATTAAATTAATTAGATTAATTAATTAAATTGAATTAATTGTTTAGTTTGAAATTTGAGGGACAGAAGCAAAAGGGACTGCGCAGCAGCAAATTCGGAATAAATTAGTAAATTAAAATAATCAAAATTTAATTTAATTTAATTTAATTTAATTTGATTTGATTTAATTCAATTTAATTTAATGAATTTAATTTAATTAAATTCATTAAATATAATACACAAAAAAGGCAAGAACAAAAAGAAAGAGAAATGACAAAAAATGAAACAAAAGAAGAAAAATAAAAGGGAAAAAAACATGAAGGACAAAAAGAGCAAAAAGAAAAAGAGAAAAGAAAAAAGAAAAAGAAAGAAAAATAAAATAAAATAAAATAAAATAAAATAAAATAAAATAAAATAAAATAAAATAAAATAAAATGGCTAACCTGGATTGTCTCCCTGGAGCCAGACGAAGTTTTTGGGGACTCTGACGAGGGTTTCAAACCCTGAGGGTTTATCTCCATCTGCTAGGGTTTTGGCGAGGGTTTCAAACCCTAAGGGTTTCTCTCCATCTGCTGGGATGGATTCCCCGAGGGTTTGAAACCCCGAGGGTTTAGAAACACGCTCTGGGGTTTGGCCGAGGGTTTGAAGCCCTGACGGTTTCAATCCCTCGGGGGTTTGGCCGAGGGTTTGAAACCCCGAGGGTTTAGAAACACCCTCTGGGGTCTGGCCGAGGGTTTGAACCCCTCCGGGTTTGAAACCCTCGGGGTTCTGGCCAGGGGTTTGGAACCCCGAGGGTTTGAAACCCTCGGGGGTTTGGCCGGGGGTTTGGAACCCCGAGGGTTTGAAACCCTCGGGGGTTTGGCCGGGGGTTTGGAACCCCGAGGGTTTGAAACCCTCGGGGGGGGGCTGGGGCGCGAAGACGTCGCCCTGGAGGGCCACGACGCGTTTGCAAACCACGCATGCGTCTTCGGGGGAAAAGGCCAAAACAACTTCTCCTCTTTGAAGTGGAAACTTTTTGAAAAGAAGCCGCAGCAGCAGGCTGGCGCGTTCCCCCAGCAGCAGGTCGCCCGCCTCCTGCACCGTCGGGCTCATCGAGAGGCCCCGCGCCTGTGCAAAACCACCGAAACCCGCGGAATGCGCGGCTTTCTTCCTGCTTTCTGCACTCCAAGTGCTTTTATTTGCATTTATTTTGCTTTTTGGACATATTTCGAACAAGTTTTCCGCTTTTCCGCGCGAAAAGGAGCCCGGACCGCCCGCAGGGGGAAACGGCGCAGCCCCCGCGAAAGCTGCGCTTTCTTGCTTTCTTTCGGCTTATTAGGAAACTTCACACACAATTTTGAATTCAAAATTCAAAATTTTAAGATCTTACTTGTTTCGTAGAGGCCACGTAGTTGTCCACGAAGTGCAAAACGCCAAATGCAAATGCGAATCGGCCCAACACGGAAAACGTGAATTGGCTGCCGCGGCGGACGAAACCCGACACTTGCAAAACGCGATCCATTTCGAAACGCGAAAGAGTTGAATTCTTTGCCTCTTCAGCAAAACAACTTATCAAATTTCACTCATTTCTTCCCGCAAATAATTCATAACTCATCAATTAATAATCCACCAGCTTTCCGCTGTTCAAAAGATGAACGAAGGTGCACATACACCCCAGATTCAGCAGCAGACAGAAAACTCAAGACTTCAGAAACACAGTTAAATGAATTTGAAAACCCTAATAAACCCTAAATTGGCGAATAATTCATCTTTTGCTAATTCCTTCCTTCAGAGGAACCGCCGGTGGAAGCCCTTGATGGTCTACACAGCAGACAAGACCCGAATGGAGGACAAAATTGAAACTAATGAGAGAAAGTGAGGCATTTGAGACTTTTAAATTATAATTTTACTTTTGCAAAATCAATTTGAGCAGCTTCGCTCAAATAAGAAAGCCATCAGAGCCCTTTTGCAAGAAAACCTGAACAAGCAGCGCCGCGTTCAACAAACCCGAAACAGCTCTCTGCGCGCTTCTTGAAAAAACCCAAAATAAATTAATTCTTCATTTCCAACTTCTGCAATTCCAAACACAAATTCCAGCATCTTTCATTCGGGGGCTCCATGGAGGGCCCTTCAGGGGGCCCCTCAGGGGCCCCCTGGGGCCCCCCACCGGGAGCCCCCGGGGGCCCCCAAGGGGCCCCCAAGGGG